GACCTAAAAGATACTACCCTCCCCCCTCCACACATCCCTACTTACGGAGATCCGACAGGCACAGTTCTACTTTTGTTTACATCCAGCGCTGAATGCTCCCTCTGCTGGCTGCACCTGCACATTACAGCCTTCTATAGACTGGAGACAGATGCGGCCAGAAGGAGACTTTCAGCCCTGGATGTCCACAAACGGCGGAGAAGCGGTTCTTGAATCTCGGTAAGTATAAATCTGTGGAGGGCAATAGTGAGTTTTCTTTGGGTCAGGAAAAAAAAAAAAAAGGATAAGTGCATTTATTCTATGAACTGCTGAAAGTAATTTTCTGACACATACCAATTTTCTACCACATATCATCACTTTTTTTTGTATATTATTTAACAAAAATGCATATATGCATGTGCTTAAGGTGAACCTGTCATCCTTTTTAAACTTTTGCCTAAAAAGGGCACCACAAGGTATTGTTTTTTTTTTCTTTCGTATAATTCAGAAACCCTATTCTGTGGAACTTCTCTGATCCAGAGGGTGTTGTGTACATGAGGCCTTGACTTTGATTTAGAGACCAAACATTGCTCCTGGAGCCAAATACCACCCATTCCAGTATTCAAAGATGGGGCCTTAGAGGACAATAAGGACACCAACTTAAGGCAAGTGGGAGGGCTAAGCTCCAAGGGCAGTCCTTCATCTTGTAACAAACTGCAGTCCAGATTAGAGGATTGCATAGAAGAGGAATTTTAAAAGGTATGACGTGTTCAAAAACAAAGGGCAAAAACTGCAATTTAATTCAGCTCTGCACATATTAGAAAACAATGTTGTTTCTTTTTTAACACGGCACAGCAGCATTAGGGCAAGCTCGGAGAGGATCAGCAGCCAATTAGACCTTGATTGCATTGCAATATGTAATTGCTCTGAATAGGAATTGTGTTACCCATTGTCATGATTTCAAGTGTCTAATTTGCAAATGCTTTAAATTTATATAAAATAGTACTGCACGGTAAAGCTAAATAATTTTATTCTTGCCATTTATTTTAAAGCTTTCTAGTCCTAGAAAGTGGTCTGGATCCCTTAAGCTGGCCATACAGGGCTTGAATTGTGGCTGATTTCAGCTTATTAGGCAGAAATTTGAGCTGTGGGTGGCTCTGTCAGCACCCCCCGGCGCAACAAAAGTTGATCTAAAAACTGAGGCGGGTGGAAAAATATTGTCTGCGTATTGACCGTGTCCTATCAGCCCATTTAGTGTGTGTGTGTGTGTGTGTGTATGGCTACCCTTAGCTAGGCCATGACCTGACTTTTCTCCACAGCAGTAAAATCAATAGTGCTCAAGGACTGTGATTGTTAGTAAATGAGCAGCAGCTCAACCATGAGGTTATTTCTCTGCTCTCCTCTCTCTTTATCAGCAAGTTGCACATGTTCGATCCATATTGCTGTGCAATGTAGTAAAGCCTGATTGGTTTAAGCTGGCTGCATTTCTTCCTTTCTCTAAGTCCCTGTTCACACCTAGGCGTCAGCGTTTCCGCGTGTCTAACACGCTTTTTTATTTTGCGCGCGTTTCAATCCCCTAAATGCGCGTTTTGGACGTGTTTCAGGGATTTTGTTTCCCAGTGTGCTTTGCAGGTGGTCTTCCACAATGTGTATGCTCCTTAAAAATGTGCGGTCTTTTTGCGCAAAAACGTGCGGGGGAAAAAAACAAACACGTGTTTTTGGCGCGTTTTACATTGAAATCAATGGAGCACAAATGTGCTAAATCTGCCAGAAAGAAGCTCATGCACCTTTTCCAGCGTTCAGCATTTTTACAGCTTGCTGCTAAACTCTCAGGTGTCAGCAAGGGCCATAGAAATGAATAGGAATTCTTGTGTTCTGAGTTTCGACGCTTAAGCTTTCAGCGTCAAAACACCTAGGTGTGAAGAGGAAATTAATGCTCCTGTGTTGGGTTTTACAGGAAGCTAGTAGGTAGACTTCCTGAGGTTCTAGCTAAAAAGCATGCAAGTCTATTTAAATACATGACCGGATTAAATGGAAGTCTTTTATATCTGCCTGGCATAAATTCCATTTTACCATTGTTTCATTACTTGCATAATTCATTTCCTTTTCATGTTGTGCCATCTAGTGTCACCTTATATGTACTACAATTTGTAGTTTTAATAATGAAAAGCGCCATGTTCATCAATCTGAACTCTAGGCAGATATAAAAGACCCAAATGAATGTAGCCCTGTGATCAGTAATACACCATTCAATGTATTCTGTTAAATGCAATCAGTGTCATTACCTGAATGTGACCTAGAATCACCCTCTTTCAGTTCCTGTGCAGCAGGGCTGGAGTGAGAGAAGAAGCAGTCCAAGGAGCCAGTCTGATTTATGTGTTGACCAGATGCATGCTGATGGGGTAGGAAAGCCGAGTGACAGAGAAATTAGCTCATCACTGTTGCTTCTACTTCCATTGTCCAGTCACAGGCTGGGGTGGGTCCAGGACAACCTGGGCTCAGATGAAGTGGGCTGAGTGATGCTGGCCATCAAACTAAGAACATACAATATAGTGGCAGAAAAAAATGCACTGTGGGAAAATCTCTGGGTTGAAGTTACATTTTGAAAGAAAAGCTTCAAAATGATAATAGTACTAATGTTATTGCTAGTCTTATGTCATATCATATTTAGTTTTCTCAGTGACCACAATAATGCATTATTACTTTTTTTTAAAAAGGTTGACATTATCTATTAGCTACTATTTGTAAATTTGCACACCTAAATTCGCGTCCCCACCTCCCTTCGCTTCCTTTCCACCATAATACACAACCTTGACTAGTATTTTGATTGATTGATGGTTCCTGCTGAATGGTAGCGATGTCGTATTGATTTCTATGTAACCAGTAATGTTACCATACCTCTCCTGTATTTGTAGATTCTAGATGAGATTGAGGAACGTGGAATTAAGATTTATCAGCTTCCAGATGCAGAGTCTGATGAAGATGAAGATTTCAAGGAGCAGACGAGGCTCTTAAAGGTGCATAGCGCTTTGCTTAGCCACTGCTTTCATAGATACACCACTTGTCAAGTAATTACAGGCTTGCATCAGCTGAAACTCCACTAAGAATGGGAGCTTCTGCCCTGGCTTTCTGTCCCAGGGACAGCAGGAAAATAAATGAGGATGCCGGTGTCACCAGGACAGGACAGGATGTCGCAGAAAGCTATAAACGGAGTTTCTAAGCCTGCCCTGTGTTACTAAATGTATTTTGTTGCCCCCTCTGTGCAAACAATAGAGACATCCCATTGTTTCTATCTGTACAGGTACTAAAAGTAAATTTCCTGTGTTTCGGACACAAAAATCAATAAAAACCAGACGGAGGTTAGCCCTTACCCCTATGTACAATACTAAAAGTGAAATTTTACCTGGAATTGCTATTTGCGTTTTAAACAGCTCAAATATATAAAATCAAGTAAATGAGGTTCACATATTTAATTTTCTTCCTCCTGCTTTTGGATCTTTATTGGTTCAATTCTTCCAACGTTTGGCTTGTAATTCATCAGTATTCTGTTTCCCAAACTTCAGCTGATCGTATGTCAGTGTCGCAAGCATTGTATGGTATATATGTAGCCCTTGTAGTGAGGCGATGCAGAGTTTGAGCTAGTACTGTATCTTTTCTGAGTTGACCGTATCAGTCAGCTATACCTGCTGATTCGGCCATTTGACTTTCTGGAGAGGTTCTCCTCCATGAACCTCATCCTCACCATTGCCCACCAGCCATCTAGTAAATTCAGATTAATTAGAACCCTCCTGTCTTCAAAACCAACCGCATTGTGCTCCATGGTTTAAATCACCATTGTTGCTGGTATCTGTTCCAAGAGGGAAACTATTCTTCTATCATGGCTACCAGGCAGTATGTTTTAAGCGCAAATGTGATTTGACTGTAGGTGCAAATAGTGCCTTCTTTTACTCCTCCACCATTGTGTTCAGCTTTGGAAGTGAAGAGAAGAAGCCTTGATGTCACAGCTTGAAGCTTACAAGTGTTGAAGACTCCCCCCCATGGGGCACTCATCAATTTAGCCACAGGGAGTTGGGATTCGGGTCTATTGGTAATGACATTGCACTTTGTTTCATTCTCTGTAGGCTAGTATCCCCTTCTCTGTTGTTGGATCTAACCAGCTTATTGAGGCTAAAGGCAAAAAGGTCAGAGGTCGTCTGTATCCTTGGGGTGTGGTGGAAGTGGAAAACCCAGAGCACAATGACTTCCTTAAGCTAAGGACAATGCTGATGTAAGTGTAGTTGAGTCTTGTTTCACACTTTCTACTTTCTTATAGAGCGTATAAATATTTAAGTGCCCTGAGACTTGGCTAAATGGAAGCTATATTTAAAGGCTATGTTTACCTTTTAATACCATGTTTCATGTTACACCTATATAGTACCTGAAATTAAGATTCTGTACCAGCATTTACTTTTGTCAACATTTGTTAAAAGCTGCATAAAGGTGCCCATACACCTTACAGTTTATCTGCAGATTTTCTGTGGTCAGATGGAAAAAGTGCAACAGATTGGCCCAGGTGGAGATTACTCCATCCACACAGTTCAGTGTAGATGGAGGAATCTGCTGCACCTTTTCTATCTGATCACAGAAAATCTGCAGATAAATTGTAAGGTGTATGGCCAGCTTAAGTTTTTTTTTTTTTTTTTTTTGTTTTTTTTTTTGTAACATTCTGGAGGCTACATAAGCTATTTTATTAAAAGGTGAACTCTGCCTTTTAACATTGGTAACAAAGAAGCTGCATACCCTGCATAATGCCTTATGATAAAGAGCTAGAAGTACTGTTTCAATGACCAGACTCTTAAAGTGAAGTGATTTTGGATGGGTATAAAACATTGTTTATGGAAAATATGTTAAGTGAAGTTTTCTTTTAAGCGAGAATAGAAAGGGGAAATACTTGTCTTTTGAATAAAGATCTTCTGCTGAATACAGACTTTTATATCTTTCACTTCTTAAATGCATGATGTATTTTTTGTGTTTGCAGCACACACATGCAGGATCTGCAAGAGGTTACTCAGGATCTGCATTATGAAAACTTTCGCTCTGAGCGCCTCAAAAAAGGTGGTGGTGGCAGGTACAGTGCCAGCACAATTAATATAAGAAATGGGTATAAATGAGCCGTGTGTAATGCTGATTCTTTTTCTGTTAAATGTATCTGTCAACCCATAATTTTTTGTATGCTTCATTAGCACAATATGAAAATTGCAAAACGTACACACCACTAGCGCCAGCACCGTAACTGTGTATAAAATCAATGTGATGCACTCTCGATGCAGCTCCCACTGGTTTAGGGCAACCACAGAACTAGAATACAGAACAAAGAGAGCGCCTCCATTGTGTAAAACGTTTTAATATAAAAACAGCTAAAATAGTACTCACAAACAGAGGATATTTAGCAGGCATAAAAAAATCGTGTGCAACAGGCTCAGCCGACCAGCTGTGTGTCCTTCCTAGTTTGCGCGTTTCAGAGGACACTCCTCCATCTTTTTACACGATGGAGGCGCTCTTTTTGTTTTGCATTCCAATTTGAAAATTGTTACAAATGAAACATTGAAAAAAGAATTAATAGAAAATAATATTTTTGGATGTATTGTATTGGCAGTGCTGTGTTGTGCTGTCAGATAACAGTGTGAGAGCTTAGAACCTGAATAGGGCTAAAGGTTAGCCGACCTTACAATGGCCAACAGCTTGTCTTGTGTTTTGTAATTGAGCTCCTGAAGTCCAGTATTGCTAATCATTTCTATACAATGGATCCTCTTCTGCAGTACATAGAACAGGCTAAGCAGTAATACGGACTCATATTAGAGTATAAGCAGTCACAACCCTCCTGGAAAATGGCTTTTCAGATTGCCAGTCAGTGAAAGCACATTTTATGCTGCATAGGAAAGAACAATGGAATGTTTCATGCAATAGCATGTAAACACTGTGTTTGAAAATAAAAAACATGCCAAGCTGACGTCAACCTTCAAAAAGGTTCCTTCGTTGCCAAGGTAGGCAGAGAAGCAGATTCTATTTTTATGCTTGTCCGTATTGGCTGACTGCTACATAGAACTTGAGAATTACTTTCAAGGCAGGTAATGTGCAGCTAAGTTTTGTTATTCTTAATGCTACTAGGTTAAAATAATAGACAGGGCAGGAAAAATCTGGGAGAAAGAGAGAATCTGGGAAGCAATTTTGATTTTCATTTCATGTATTTTGTACTGATATATATAGTTCACCTGCACCCCTGAAACCTGGAGTGGCAGTACTGTCCACCTCCTTCCTATAGCCCTTACTATTGCCGCATCGCTCTAAAAGATGACCCCACTAACAGAATGAAAATTAGTCTGAATCGGAGCTGGGAAGCAGAAAGACTATTATTACTTGGGTATCCTGTGTTTCTGGAGTGCAGTGGCCCAATATGGGGATCACATGGGCATATGCAGGCAGTATTTGATTTAAGCTGTCTCTGTAGCTCAGACAATCTAAACCACCCCTCTTTTATTAAGCACTTCCATAAGTACAATAAGTAACCATACTTGTTTAGAATTTTTCAGCTTAAAGTTTTGAATGTTCTTACTAAAATCAGATGAAATGTTCATTAATTTTACCTGCTCTTATTTTCGATATTAGTGTGGAGAACGTGGAGGTGTCTAAGGACCAGATACTGCTGGAAAAAGAAGCTGAGGTGAGGAATGCTGGTTACATGTAACAGTAGTGAACTTTGATTCCCTTCGCAAAGTCTAAGTGAGTCTTCTAGTTTAGATTTGTCACAGAAGGTCCAATGCCTTTGGCCTGAGCACAGAAGGTTGGACTTTTGTACATTCTCTATTATGAAACCCTCCCTGGAGAAATGTAATGTAGCAGCTTGTCTTACTTTGATTGTTTCCAAGCCTGTTTTTGTGTTCAGTCTGTTTCTGGCACAATCAGCTTTTGAAGTGAAGTGTAAGTCACTTCTGCTTATAAGGGTGGCTCCATTCTTCTGCAAGTCTCCCTGGAGCCACCCTCACGCGCGCTCACAGCTGGGTCATACTCATGTGCATGCTCAGGCTCCATACATAGGCTGTGCATGCACAGTGTATCCAAGGAGCTTCTCATTGTGCTCCTTCGGAAGTCATGCATAGGGTCGCATGCGCAGCATGGCTAGGATCCTTGACATTGTGCCTGCTCAGGCGCCAGGGAGCGCATGTGCAATGTGGCAGAAGGGAAAGGATTGTGGGGCATGTAGTCCCAAAGCTTCAATTCATAATAATAAATGCACAGTAGCGCTCCCTGACTGGAAGTTCGGGTGAAGTGCATCAGAGATGGGCACAGCGTGGACATTTTTAAAAGTCAAATGTAAGTTGTTGGAAACTGAGGGGAAATACATCACTTTAACAGTTTGTTAAATGGGAACATCAATTTGCACTGAGGGTTTAATGCTACTTTAATCTGGCTAGCAGCTGTTAGCAGCTTATATCTGGTTATGATATACCCGCTCCTTTTTCTGTGTAGAAAAGCAACTGATTAGCTTCTGGTTGCAAGTTGCATGCTATAACCTCTGATGCAAACTACTACTCAATAGGTAAACCCTCCCTCCCCCTATAGTGCACATTGGTGTGTATGGCTACACAAGGTATGTCCACATATTTCTCATTGATTATAAAAGCCAAGATCTGCCTGAACTGTCAAATGACATGTCAATGGTCATTTTATCAATCTATTTTCTATGGTGAAAGTGGAATGATCCTTTAAATCATAGGTTGTTGAACCTCACTAACGGCCTGTTTTTGTTTTCCCCTCTGGAACACGGATACATTAGACCTTATACTAGTGGATGTCATAAGGAGGTGCTTGATGTGATTTCCTGATACTAGGCACCGAGAAAGTGTATTGAGCTGAATGGTACAGTACAGTATGCCCTGACACAAGAACTACTAAAACTTTGCTATAAAATTCAAGCCGCATATGCTGAGCAAAAATAAAGTTGACCAGTTTATCTATCCTACAAGAAAATTGAATGCTTTAATGTCATTTGTTTTATTCTGTCTTGTAGCTTCGTCGTATGCAGGAAATGATTGCTAGAATGCAAGCTCAGATGCAGATTCAGAGACAAGAAGGGGATGCACATATGTAATGGCAAGGATACATTTTTGGGTAATTAGGTGCATGAATTTTTAATTTGAATATCTGAACATTTCAGTACATAATTCGAGACATAAAGGAAGAGTGATGGCAGAAAAAGTGTTTAATGGCAGATTATTAAAGTGGACATTATGTAAAAAAAAGACTGTCATAGAAGCAATAAAAGCTTCTAGCTGCTTTTTTTTCCCCTGCACAATGAGCCATGCATGCACAGATAAGTGTACAAGCTCTGCATGCTGAGATGAAGCAACTCCCAAACGCATGCAAGGAAGCTACTTTATTAGAGCCGGCCAATCAAGTGGCCAAAGACTCAAAACCCCAAAAAAGCAAAAATGAAAGTGCCAGTGAGAGATGAACGCTGCGCTGGAGGAGATCGCTTTGGCAGGTCAGTCTGTCATGTGCTAATATGAACTAGGATAATATGGTTAAAAGCTCCAGGGGGCTCACTTTACTTCCACTTTAAAGGAAGTTCTGGCCTTCTGATGGAACACGGTTAATGGAAGGACTGTTCTTGTTGTCTGTCAAGAAGATAGAGGCTCCCTACTGCACTACAAACATTTGGTAGCCTCTGTTATGGACAAACACAATTCCTTATCCAGAAACTTTTATTCATGAGGTCTAGTGACCTCACCTGTCATCCCCAATATAAATTTTCTCCTTCTAAAGTAATATTGCCAGAGAAATGTGCTGTGTGTTAGTTCACCTTTGAACATTTACCTCCGCACATCACAAAATGAAACAAAAAATTATGAGGCTTGCAATACAAGTGGTAATACATGTCATTCCTACAGATGCTTAATCTCCATTTTTATTTTACCTTTTACATTTTTATAAATGTTTTTTGACTTGATGTTATATTGGTGATGCCTATTGTGAGCACTATTTTTTTCATTCGTACGGTATTTGCGGTGCTGCACATTGCAGTGCGGCCGATCGCGCTGTGGGCGGGAGCTGTGTTTGGGGTGCAATACAAATAAATGACATGCAACACACTTTCTGCACTGTAATTGCATGGGAGGTGCGTTCGGCGGTACTGTGCATTAATCACACGGAAACCTTGCAATTTAATGCACAGAGATAGTGTGAACGTGCCTTTTAGACTTTTCTGCATGTATTGCTTCTCTTCTGAGACTAGCTGACCTAACTGTTTATTAGGGATGCACCGATAACAAGTATTTGGCCGAGTACTCGTACTCACCCCAATTATCCGATACTTACCCCCGATACCGAAACTTCCTCTGACCGGCAGTGCCACGAGGGAACATGGAGCCAGCTTCCTGGACAATCAGGAAGCCGCGTGGCAGGTAATGACTCGCCACCCGGCATCCTGATTGGCCGGGAAGCCGGCTCCATGCTGATTGGCCGGGAAACCGGCTTCCCAACCAATCAGCATGCTGCCTGGCTTTCTGATTGGCTTCTTACTAGCAGAAGTACCGGTATCGGTACTCTGTATCTGTACTCTGTATCGGCAAGTACTGAAAGATAGATGTACTCGATACCGAAAAACCGGTTTTGGTGCATCCCTACTGTTTGCCATTTGCAGTTAGAGGATTATTGGGAAAAAAAAATGATAAACAGTGTTCTGAAATATAACTGAGAAATTGAAAATGGTAAATATGTGTGTAATAGGAAAAAGGTCACCTTGAACTTTTTTTTTTTTAAAGTGCTTTATTGCAAGCAATAAAAAGTAAATATTTAACAGTGTCATGCATTGTGTCCACAATAAAATACAGATCACAGAATAAATTGCTATCCACAAGGAAATGCAGCATAAAATTTGCTGACAGAGTTTTTATGATACAAGAGACTCGTGTCATAAATGCTCCCTTCCTGCCTGTCAGCATTTGTGTACACTGAGCCACGCATGCTCAGCTCCGTGCATATGCTCGGGCAGGTCCTGTGCCGAAATGAAGTAACTCACATGCACAGGAGTTGCATCATCCTGGCCCAAGTAATCTAGAGGCCAAAATGCCGAAACCGGAAGAAGAGCCGATGAAGATGGCAGCGATGACGTCGCAGCGCTGGAGGGGATTGCCTGTAAGGTAAGTAGCACATATTAGAAACACCTCCTGGGGACTCACTATTACAGTGCTTAGTTTGGTGGCTTACTACCACTTTAAATGTAATGATGTAGAAAATAATGTGTATCCGAGTAAGTGACAGAGTAAATAAAGACGAAGTGGGAAGCAATCCCATCGCTAGCATAGCACATCCTCCTTTCTCCATACCATTGAGCGGGTCCAAAGTGCAGAAATGCACACAGCTGCAGCAGCAGATTTGATGTTGATAAATGTACATCTCCAGTTTTATAGACCTGCACCTTGCACTTTAATTTAAAGATCTATCATGATAGAAACATGGAGGCTGCCATTACTGATCTGACCGTGTGAAAATACTAGCTGCCTGGCTTTCATTCTCCCCATCTTGCTTCAATCGTTGAAGTGACACAGAACAACTATGCAGAAAATTATAAAGACTTTTGGCTTTCCTGATATTCTTAGCATTACCAGGTCCAAATTTTAGAAAGTAAAGAGGTCACTAGATCAGCACAACAGCTAAATAAATTGACTTTCAGAAAGAGGTCAGCAGTGGCAGCCTCTGTATTTCTCTGATAACACTTTAGTGCATTGACTTGCTTCTAGCCTGCTTTTCTGTTTTTATTGTGTGCTAATGTACTGTTATTTTTCTTCTTTCAGGCCTGGATGGACGGTTCAGAACAGCAGCTGCAGTCTGTCAGAGATCTGTCTCCTGTGGCCTGTTGTAATGTTAAAATGCTGACATTTTATATTTGCTGGCTTCACAAAGCTGGAGCTGTCAGAGGCATAGTTTTATGCCATGTACACGCTGTATAGAAGCACACTTTTTTTTTCTTATGTAAATCTCCTTAAAAATGATGTTCTTTTACACCATAGTATACTTCCTGTTACACAATGTGCACACAGATTGTCACAGAAACATAAACATGGAAATGCATGTCACACTCCATTCAAAGCACCACAAGTACATCACAAGAGACATCAGTTTCACTTTACATTGCACATTTCTTTCCATAGCTCATTGTACCACTGTTGTTGAGCAGCTGTCATTAGCGGACGGTTTCTTAAAGAAGAGCTCCGGCATAAATATTCTTAACCCTTGCAGTGGGCTACCCCTGCACTGCAAGGGTTAAGTGCTTGTTTTCCCCTAGGGACGGAAATGTCAAAGTTCTACTCATCTGAACCTCACAGCCGGCTGGCTGTTAGACCGATCCCTGCAGCCAGTCTAAGGTCATGTGAGTCAACACGTCCAATAGACTGTATTGGATGTGAGGACGCTGAACGACATTTGATTGCTGGAGTGGAGGAAGGCTGAAGGTATCCGTATAACAGACGCCGGTTGTGAGGTTCAGGCAAGTATAACTTTATTTTCATTCCTAGAGGAAAATGAGCACTTAACCCTTGCAGTGTAGGAGTAGCCCCTGCAATGGTTAAGAATATTTATGCCCAGAGCGCTACTTTTCAAGCGGACCCATTTCCTAAAGTGGACCTATCATTAAAAGTCACCCTTTACTTGAATTATATGGGCATATGTGAGCATTCCCGAAAAACATGATTTTTTTAAAATAATTTTTTTAAAGAACAAAATAAATCTCTTGCCTGCCAAGAAAGAAAGCTGTTCCTGAGCTTCCAGCCTAGGAAGGTTAAAGCTGGGTATACACGGTTAGAATTTCGTACGAACTATCTCATCGGAACATTCAATAATGCTATCAGAGACTTGATGAACTTCGTTCAAAATGTCATTTGATTTGAACACTCAGTTTGGAAATGAATAGAGTTTCCTGGACCAAAATCACATTCACTGTTAGAATTTTGTTCAAGTAAATTTTTTGTCACTACTGTTGAAATCGATTTTTAAATTGACCCCATTAACTTTTAGAAAATCAAACGAATGTTCTGAAATGGACAACTTTCAAACCAAATCCTAACCATATGTATATTATACCCAGTTTAAATCAGATGGTTCATGGCTACCTATCCTTGTTTTTAGATGTTGTCTGGACTTTCATTGAGATAAGAGAATTAGCAAGACCCAAAGAATGCAGTGCCTGCTTTTGTAGTGATCAATCATGGTTGCCCCCATGTACATAAATATAAGAACCAGCCTTACTGAGGTTTCTATTACATGTGCACACATTGATAAGACTGTTAACGTTAGCAGATTTCTGCCATGTGTTATAAACCCCTTGAAAAGCTTTTGATGCTGTAAGAAATGGGAAGGTCTCCAGCATCATTTTGGGATTTGAGCAGACAAGTATCCCGACCATTCCAATGTTTTTGTTTTTGCAAGAACCGAATGCCAACAATGTTTTCTACATCTTTTATTTTTTTTGACAACGGTACTAGCAAAAACTGAGTGGTGTATTGACTGTACTATTATTAGTACAATGAACATGAACAGTAATGAGTCAAAGAGAAAGAAGGGATTGGGAACAACACAGCCCTGAGAGCTGAATGTGAGGATACAGCTCCCTGGGTTCTTATTGTCCTTGGGTGCTGCGGAAATGAATCAAGTGTGCCTGCTTTATCTTCCTAATACTATTTCAGTTGGTGTCAGAAGACATTGTGCAACTTAAAGAAAATTGCCACTTTCAAGTCATGTAAAATAACCCATGAATGTGAAATATATTTTAAGGTTTTCCTAAAACATTAGCATTGCGGTAATGCACTAACAGGGTTAAACAAACGGTGTTGGAATACTGACAATTTACATCAAGATATTTTATCTCTTCTTCTTTTTTTTTTTTCTGTGACATGAATGCCATTGCTGTTTACATATTTCCAGTGGTGGTAATGTAGTGCGTATTGCCCAAATGAAGGAAAGAGCCAGAATTAAAGCAGAACTCCAGGCACAGATTTTAGTATACCTGGCAGTGGGGCTGGCCAGCACTGCAAGGGTTAACTGCTTGTTTTTGTCTAGGTTAAAAAAAAGTTATACTCGCTCGATCCTCCGAGCCGGCTGGGTCTTAGATTGGTGCCTTCAGCCTCACTCCCCCTCCGCTGCAGCAATCTGAGGTCTCCAAGTCATCACGTTCTGTACACAATGTAAACGATGCAAAGACACTGAAGGACATACCATCACTGCAGTGTAAAAGGAGGGAGGCAGAAGGAAGCGCTGTTACAGCCAGCTGGCTCTGAGGATCAGGTGAGTATAACTTTTTTTTTTTTACCTAGACAAAAATGAGCAATTAACCCTTGCAGTGTGTGCAAGGGTTAATAAAACTTTGTGCCTGGAGTTCTGCTTTAATGATCCAGACATTAAGTACACCAGGCTGCCTCAGTCCTGAATAAGGTCCACAAGATTTCATATCGGGTTTACTGTTTAGCTACTCTCTAGTAACTCCTGGCTGCCATAGTAGAGCTACACTCCTGAGCATAAGCGAAATGACAGGTGACAATTTAATGTGTTATGGTGACATATGGTGACCCTCTTCTCCTAAGCTCCCCCTCTCCAGCTATCCTGTTGCATTTGGAACAAGAAGCTTTATAGCTGCTACTGGCACGTGGCAAAAGTGTGCGGACTGTCATCCTACCGACAGGAGGCAGAAACAACCATTGAAATGTGTACAGACCGATATCAATGTGTTCCTTGTGTATCAGCTGAAAATGTACAGACCAGAGACATTTTAGTGTTTAGCTGGAATTGTCACTTTGTGGAGCATGTCCTCGGGCTCCAGAAAGTGTTCACACCTGAGCATTTTTTGTGGAGCAGAAAAACGCCTGTCGCTGGAAAAAGTACATGAGCTACTTTTTGGCAGATTACAGCACTTTTTGGTCCCATAGACTTCAATGGGAAACTTCATGTGACAAAGCGCTCAGGTGTGAACAGGGTCCATAGAAATAAATGGGATTCTTTGTCTTGAGAGTTTTGTTAAGCTTACCTTTTGAGCAACAAATGCCTTGGTGTGAACAGGGACTTGGGGCATGAGATCATAGTCAACTGTTACAAATATACATTTTTTTTATTTCAAGCTTTAGGTCTTAATTATATTTTGGGTAGGGCTCCCTATCGAAACACAGCTCGGCATATGTGAATTGTTTGTCTATATTTAGATGAACTCCGATCTTCTAGTACATGGAAACTACAACATCTGCTGTTCATTCCAGATTTCTGTTTCCATCGGGGGTTTATGTTAAGTGGAAAATTTATTTTCCTGCCATCCACTAATTCACCGTTGCTCTTTTTTGAAACAGATGAGAGATTAGGATCTTTAAGTCCCAATTTTACTTCCTACTGACTGAAGTCTAGATTAAAAACATATTTGTTAAAATTTACACACGGCTTTATTACTGCAGGGTACTTTTATACAGTCCTATAATACCACAATCAGCCTAATACACATGTATGTGTCTGAAATAAGAGCGGCCTGTGCTGTCCTATGACAACTGGAATCCGTGTTGTTGAGCCCCATGAGTTGCCAGGGTGCTTCCAATCCAGGGTTCTCTAATTGGCAAATGTCTGCTTTAATTTTCAGCATGCTGACACTACCCATGCCTGTCACACGCCTCTATTGGCTCATCACTGTGATGGGCATTCTCATTGGCCTGTAGGGTGGTGCTGGTGAGGTCTGGTGAACCAGCAAGTAGCTGCTTGTTAAAGCACCCCGTGATATAGGGCACACAGGTGTGCTCTAGGAAGTGCCTGAATGTATCCTGCATATATTCTTTATAGTCAACTTAGATATTTAAAGTGACAGGTGTACTTTAAATGGGTACAAGGAAGGCATTGTTGTGTTAAATTTGATAGATGACTTATCCCTCTTGATGCTGTTTCAAGGCAGTCAGGTTGTGGCCTCTTGAAGCCAGGTGGCACTGACAGATGGACATCTACTACTGGTTTTTTTTTTTTTGGTAGTGACACCCCTTAGGTCAAAGTGTACAATAACAGAATTGTCTGCAGACAGTTTATGAGCCTCCTGTAAATAATGAAGGTGTGTGTGTCAGAGTAGTAGGGACATTAGATTGTGTGGCCCTGCAGAGGACAGGGACTGATTTGAATGGTTCTATGTACTCTGTAAAGTATTGTGTAATATGTCGGTTCTATAGAATAATTGTGAATTGACTAATAGTTCTGAGAGTGTGATCTCCCTGCTGGATTTCTGGCTCTGCCCCTCCAGTATGGAAGCCTAATATTTTAAGCTATAGCAGAAGGAATCCTACTCCTGCAGTGTCCTCCGTAAAGCAAGGGTCCCCATAGACTTGAGAGGTAGTCCGACATTATGCATGATCTGCACATCTTCAGACATTCCCATTATGGCAGTGCTACCTTGAACATAAACATTTACCTTGGCTGTAAATTAATACAGTGGTGTCGTGCTGGCAGATACTGCCACTTTTGTTTTGGGGAGGGGGGAGTCGTTTGCATAACAGTTACTTACTAGTTCACCGCTCACCTTCTGATACTCGCCTCTCAAGCGCTCCCATGAAGTGCCAGGTATTTTGCAGCCCTGAAGGAGCTATAGGGGAATGAAAGGAAGGTGAATATGTGGGTGGGAGGGGGCTGGTAAGAGACCTTCACACCCTACACTGAATAAGCAAACAAAATCAGCTTGAGAGACCTTGGCAGATGAAGTTTACAGTGACACTAAACTCAGGAGTTCAATCTCGCAAATACATTCAAGTACCTCAACCAATAACAAAAAGGTATCTTATTTGGGTATCAGTCGGCTGTAGATCCTCAAATCATCTCTGAATTGGTGCGGACACTGTCCTTCTGGAGGGTGGCTACTTTTGTTCCCCATGGTCCCTGTGTGTGTAATAAAGTAGTCACCGCTCCAAGCTCACTCCTGTGATGGTCTGAACTAAAAATTAGATTATAGTCCATCAAAGGAGCGATCTTGGAGGGGTGGCTACTTTACAACACACACAGGGACCATGGGGAACAAAAGTAGCCACCCTCCAGAAAGAAGGACAGTGTCGGCACCAATTCAGAAATTATCT